TAGGTACAGGGAGGCACCAAATACATATGCGCCACACAAATCTCAATTGATTTGTGTGAGGGCTGTGATACTGCTCGGGTGCCCAAACCGAAGCAGGTGGTTGTCTTAGGGGGCCACACCCCGAGCCTTTGACCTGAACGTCTGATCCACAAGGCAGTGGAGCATCGTGAGGAGATGCAGTCCCATGGTAGCCGGTGACCAACGATTGGTTCATACGCCATTTGTTCCTTCAGGATACTGGAGCCCATGTGCACCATTGGTTTGGGGTCCGGTTAAAGCGCCAGACATTCGCTTTTCGTCCTCTCATTTTTGTAAACAACACCCTCGCCACGAGAAGGCAGTGAGTAGGACTTCCCTGGCAGAGGCTATATACGCATGGCCATGTGAGAGCATTTCGAGAGGGAGAGCGGACTCTCCTCACTCTCGGCCGTACCAGGGCATTTGGGGGCGCTGTTCGGCTAAACGGCTCCGTAAGAACTCGGAAGGATAGGGACACACGTCGTTGCCTTTTCGTCGTTTCTGCCTACGCTCCCACTGACTGCAGTTCGGATGAAGTGAAAGATGAATTTTACAGAAAGCTGTCTGAACTTCTTCAGAAAGCTAAACGTTCAGACATAGTACTCGTAGGAGGTGACTTTAATGCCCAGGTAGGTAGCTTAAACAAAACAGAAAGACATTTAGGTGGGTATTTTAGTATTAGGGCACAGCGAACAGATAATGGTGATCGTCTGCTGCAGCTGTGCTCAGACAATCGTTTATTTTTAGCAAACACAAATTTTAAGCATAAGGAGAGACATCGTCTAACATGGCGACCCCCTGCACCAAACCAACGATGGACTCAAATAGACCATATTGCCATCAGTCATCGTTGGAGAGGGTCAATAGAAGATTGTCGCTCATTCTGGGGTACCTGCTTTGACTCTGATCATGCCCTAGTACGAGCACGCATCTGCTTGCGCCTCACTGGACGCAAAAGAGCCACACAAAAAAGACTCATTAGAACCGAATTGAGTAATGAGAAAGCCAAAAGTAGGTTCCAGGAACAACTGAGGTCACACTTAGGTAGTTCTGAAAACGAGACTGACCCAGATGTTGCTTGGAAAGTTATACAAGCAGCTGTGGAAACAGCAGTGACATCTACCAGTGATTTAAACCAAATGGTTACAAAAAACCAATGGATTTCGTCAAGGTCTATTGCACTGATAGATTCTCGCAAACTCATCCCATCAGGTTTTGAATACGATGAAGAGCGTAAAGAAATCAAATCTAGATTAAGCAAAAGTCTAAGGAATGATCGTGAGCAGTGGTGGGCAACGAAAGCAAAAGAGATGGAAAAGGCGGCGGCTATAGGGAACACAAGACAACTCTACAGACTAATAAAAGAAACTGGAATTAATAAATCAAGTGTAAGTCAGACCATTTCGGAAAAAGACGACACTCTCATCTGCTCCCAGTCCAGACGCTTAGAACGATGGGCGGAACACTTTAAGGAGCAGTTTAGCTGGCCTTCAGCTACTCTACAACTACCCTCTATTCCCAGACAGTGTGAACGGAACATTGAAGTAGGTCCCCCAACTCTAGCTGAAGTTCAAAAGGCTATAGCTAATCTGAAACGAGGAAGGGCAGCTGGTCCAGATGGATTGGCCCCAGAGGTCTTTAAGGATGGTGGTCTAGTCTTAGCGATTAGGTTGACTAATATTTTAGCTAAAATCTGGGAGTTAGACGTTATTCCATCTAACTGGTCACAATCACTTATCATCCTAATATTTAAGAAAGGGTCAAAATCATTCTGTGACAACCATAGAGGGATTAGTTTAACCAATATAGTATCTAAAATACTAGCCTCGATAATTTTCGGACGCCTAACTAAGACTCGTGAACTGCAAACACGTGAAAATCAAGCTGGCTTCAGACCTGGTCGTGGCTGCATCGACCACATATTCACCATTCATCAGGTTCTAGAACACAGACATACTTATCGGTGTCCGACAATGGTGATATTCCTTAGCTTAAAAGCAGCGTTTGACTCTGTAGACCGAGAAGTTCTGTGGCAGTGTGTGTCATTGAAAGGCGTACCTCAGAAGTACATAAACCTTGTGAAGGCTCTTTACTCGAACACTACTAGTCGAGTCAGAGTTTAGGGCGAACTGTCATCCGCTTTCGCAACCTCAAGTGGGGCCCGTCAAGGCTGCCCACTTCCTCCTTTTTTGTTTAACTTTATCATAGACCTCCTGATGGAAATAACATTCTCGTCGACTGAATTCTCGGGTATTGATTTCCTACCAAGGGGTCCACTTATTGACTTAGAATACGCAGATGACATAGTCCTGTTTGGTGAAGACGCTGATGAAATGCAGAGTCTTTTGGTAGCACTGAGCAACAATGCCAGAATGTTTGGGATGTGCTTCTCTCCCTCTAAATGCAAGTTGTTGCTTCAGGACTGGCCTGCATCAACACCTGAACTAAGGATAGGGAGTGAAGTAGTCGAACGCGTCGACAACTTCACTTATCTTGGAAGTCTGATCAGCCCTAAGGGGTTGGTGTCTGACGAAATCTCAGCACGGATTCGAAAACCTCGTTTAGCCTTTGCCAACTTAAGTCATCTATGGCGAAGGCGAGATATCCATCTATCAATTAAGGGTCGAGTATACTGCGCGGCAGTTCGTTCCGTTCTACTATACGGCTGCGAAACATGGCCATTAAGAGTTGGAGATACTCGTAAGTTACTAGTATTTGACTACAGGTGTCTTAGAAATATTGCGGGTATCTGCTGGGATCACCGGGTAAGTAATAGTGAGGTTAGACACAGGGTACTAGGGAATGATGGTAAATCAGTTGATGAGGTTATGAATCTTCATCGACTGAGATGGTTGGGCCACGTGTTGCGTATGCCTGAACACCGATTACCACGACGCGCAATGCTGACTAGTGCAGGGGATAATTGGAAGAAAGTTAGGGGCGGCCAAACCAAAACGTGGCATCAGTGCTTGAAGTCACTAACTTCTGGTCTGAGCCATGTTGGGAGATTCAGACTGCCTGGTTGGGGTCCACGTGACTATCGTAACCAATGGTTGGAGACTCTTGGTGACATGGCTCAGAATCGATCACAATGGCGTCGGTGTATACACTCTCTGTCTTCCTTAAATTAAGACATTAAAATCGCTTCATATCTGTCTAGGAACTAATTCTTTCTTCCTTTACTATCTCCTTATACACAATCTTTCTTCTATATATTACCACCACTGAATTAACTACTCCTATGAATCCGGTGTTCATCTTGTTGTGCTAATGCGGTATGGCAACTTGGACCGATGCATATATGTGCCTGGTCCTACGTTGCAGCTGACTGACTGACTGACTAGCCGTGGGTATGGGAGAATCATTAATAGGTGATAGAGGTATTCGGTCGCCAACAAGATGATTTCATATGTTGATAGAGGCATGTGGGTGGTCGTCACTTCCCTGTTGCCCACACCGTAGAAGGACATTACTTATTGAAGTACCTGAAGAAGCCAAATTAATAGTGGTCTTAGTGACCTGAAGGCGTGACCGCAGAGCCGAAGGGACAACTGCTTGAGGCTGTTTGCTCACGGTCTCTTTATGATAAGTCTTTGATGTGTTAGCTCTACACTTCGAAAGGCCTTGCCACCGGAGATGGAAGTGCGTGGGGTAAGGTGAGATGTGAGATTTTTAGAACCGACCTTCTCTAACCCCATTCATCCGATATGAGAAGGCAGAATCGCTGAGGACACTGGTTGACCGAGCGAAACACTTTACTGCCTTCAAACACCTCCACGCCAAATTTCCCGGTCATCCAATAATAGCATGAAATACTAGTGCCTTTGCGCTTTCGAGTTGGCCGTACATTCGCTCTGACATTTGAAAAAAAACTCCCGACACATCTACCAACTAAAATCTTGATATTTGAAAGAGGCCGTAATTGAAGACCGAAATCTGTTACAAACTCAAAATTAGCGGTAATGTGTTTAGTATCCAAAAATAAGATCAATGAAATACAGTTTTTGAGGTGAAAGTAAACCTTATTCCGCCGTCATTTTAATTAGAATCTGTACGTAACACTATGAACAAAACGCGACAGCAAACCCATTTCAAGCTGGGAGATCATCTGTAGCCCAAAGAACAGCCTATACTACAGAAATGTAAAAAGACTTTTGAAGAGCCAAACAATTTGCGGAAACGCAGAGACGGATACAGGCGTGGTTCTGTTTAGTTTAACACACTTCAGATCGTTTGAGGAAACTCGGTGAGGGAAAAAAGAGGCACGAAGCGAGTAAGTGAAGTGAAGGCTTTACGACAAACAAAGTAACACTTCAACCAAGACTCAGCCAGACATTTACTGAGTGCCCTTGGATTGTTAAAACTGATTTTGAGCATTGTCGCCCGGTCTTCAAGAGGTTAAAATATTTCGAAGGCTTTACCCGACGAATATGCATTGCCGAAATTGGACAGGAGCAATAATCAATTGCTTAATGGTTAATAACAAATTGATTCAATCGTGTCAACCAACATTCTTTATTTGGCGTGCTGAAGACGCTAATCAAGATAAGGTCATTAATCTGAGGCTGACGCGATTTACGACCCTATTTGGTCTGCGGTTATGTTTGTTCAGCCTTATATCCCAACGATATCCCCTGCTTTGACTTTATACACACACCTGGAATACACACACCAATCAAGGCAAGTGAAATTAGTTGTGTCCTACTACAGATGAAATAGGCGATACCATACGTTTTCTAAAAGACTAAGTTTTTCATACTGTTAAGTTTGGCGAGTCTCGTGTATTATCCGGTGAAGTAATTAGACTAAAGAGATTTCACTCAAGTTGTACAAATTGAGGCTGTACGTACAGCCTTCTTGAATCAAAATTATTGAATAAAGATATCAGACAGTAAACAGAATTATTCAAGAGAAACTATTGTACGTTGTTCTGTGATTTTATGATTTACAAACCAATGATACAATGAAATTTAGTTACTAACCTCACTTTTTCCAGAAATGTGTGGTATTTTGAAACCAGTGCCGCATCATGGCCTACATTAACGACTAGTCAAAGTGTGACGTTCAATGGCGCAAGATATGAAAATGATGTATCATCCTACCGAAAACACTTCAACGTGTTATTATAAGACAGTGATAGGGAAAATTTATTCACCTTCGAGGCTTATTATCTAATGACCAAATACAAGAATCTGAAAGAGGAAATATCATTCGAAGACTAAGTTATGACGAGGAAATCAATGGATGTCTGTTCTAACCTAAGACTGGGTTTGACAGAAATAAATAATTTTAAATTTCCTGAGTTGCTGATCTGAATCAAAGAGGGCCGTTCTTTGATACGAAAGATGCCTTCCTAAATTTGATCCTTAAAACAAGGGAAAGGAAAGGTAATTCTCATATGTATTATGCGAAATTTATGAAAACCCTTATCATATGCTTAGTAAAATTTGTCATGTAGAAGTATTTATAATATTGGCTGGCTACCCTTTTTTCCACCCTGTATTTGGGATGAAAGGGTTTCCAGAACCGAGAGTTACTTCTATAACGTCGTTACACTTTCATTATCATGGTTGAACCATTTTCACTAGGTGCTCATTTTTTCTCTCTTTTTCTCCTTCTAACTAAGTATTATTGTTAAGATTCCGAACATTTTAATTAAAACAATAACTTGTATTACACCTAAGTTAACTTCCTAGACCCGTTTTAACTTCATTATGTATATATGACTCATACATATTGATATTTGGTTACCTATGCACTTAATTGAAACTTTCATAATATAGCGGTAAATAAATCCCCAAAATAAATAGCTCTGTAAGTTTTCGACATTGGATGCTGACCACATTAGTTTTAATGGACTCATCTAGCTGAAGGCTCTTGATCATGCATCCGCACCAGATCATGTGTGGGAACGCCGTGCTCAACATCCACTGCAACCGCTAGCCAGATTGGTTCAGACGATCCTCGATATATTGATAGCTTGTCAAATATATCTTCGAACCTCCTCGCTTCTGTCTTTTGATTTCACTTGGCGGGTACACTTTATGTTGGAAGGTGTTATGGTTTAAGGCGTTTTCAAACTTCTAATACCTGTGGCATCTTCATTGCTGAGCCTTACGTTATCTGGTACATAAAATTGCAAACTGTGAGTCTGTTCCTTTTTCGGATTTTATATATCACTGCCTTATTTTAATTTTTTATACATTGTGGTATTTTTCCCGCGTTTTTGGATATATATTTCCCACTAGTTCATTCTCGTACTTAATATTTCACCATGACTGAACAGACACCTAAGGTATTTAAGTTAAAGACTGTGTCCCCACCTTCGTTCCAACTAATGCCTTTCTGGCCACACAACATCAAAGCCTGGTTTTGCTTTGCAGAAACTGACTTCTGCGAGCACGGCGTGAGCGACACACGATTCATCCCTAAACGCGGAGATCTAACCGATGGACAAAATTTAGATCAACTCTTTAATAACATCGACTTGCAACACAGTTCTGTCACAGACATGTTGCAAAGGATGGGAGAGGTTATCGGCCAAAGAACCTTCGATGATGGCCTGTTCAAACAACTTTTCTTAATCAAACTTCCTCAACAGGTGCAAGCTGTGTTGGTCTCGTTTCAAAACAACGCCGTAGAGCTGGCTGCATCTGCCGACCGTATCCTCGAAATCACAAAATCTTCTAATGCAGAGGTTTTTTCAGTCAAACAAAAGCCTCAAACGAACCCGAATGACATAACAGAGTCATGCCATACACTTACACGTTATCTTAAATTCCATAACAACCGTAAACGGTCACATATCCCGCGAAGAAGCACTTAACATAGGCCATCTGTCTTTAAACCATGAGAGACGGATAACTTCGACTGGTGCTGTTATCATAACCAGTATGGAAAGTCCTCCATAAATTGCAGAAAACCCTGAAATTTTCTTAACTCAAACTCAATCGACACGAAAAATGTTTCAGGAAACTTGCAAGCCTGCACGCGTTAATGGCAACCGTAGCAGGCGAACATAGCCGTCTGTTATACGTCGCAGATGTGATAACGAGTGTTCGCTACCTGGTCGATACTGGCGCAGAAGTTAGCGTTCTCCCAACGAATTCCAAAGACCGGCTTCACAAATCAGTTTTAAATCTACAGGCAAATACCTGTGGCATCTTCAATAACATCACTCCGAAATACGACATCACAAACGCTTATTCTAACGTCATATCTTACTGCAATAATAATTTGTTTTTCTTATTCATTTTGTTTTGTTTTTTACTCATTTGGTGATTCATACATGGTAGTTTATTCTTGTTCTGTGCTCACAAACACGCTTATTAAACTATTTACGCATTTCTTCTCAATTATGCAGAACCTGGTCTATTATTATCACTTTATTATCACTATTGTCTTTTTTTCTTCTATTTTTCAAATAATTCAAATACAGTGCTAGCATTAATGAAACTTGTGCACTATTGCATCTTTGAAAAGAACTGAAATAGTTTCTTCTCAACACTTATGTATCCATAAAATGTTTGTGATTATTAATAATAACAACCATCTTACATGTAACTTACTAACGAAACGAATTAGCGATGTGTTAGGGCTAGTGGTAATGTGATAAGTATGATACATCAATATGAAATTCTAGTAATTCATCCTGTTCTGAACAAATTCTAAGCTTACCACCCCATCTTCCTGGAGCTATATACGCTCTAATGCATACATAATTTTACGCTAATCACCTTCTAGTTGTGAAGCCTAAGCATGCCAACGAAAATGAGTGAGCAGCTGTACTTACTAAACTGGTCCACTTCATTACATGCTTCAGGCACTATAATTAAGTATAGTTTAATTATATCGACCAAACTTAATTATACAACAACCAAGAATATCAAACTAAGTAGGTGTTATAATTATTGTTTCACTTGCACAAACATGTTACTGAAAGTAGTAAAATGTAGATAATTAAGCCTATAAATTCAAAAACGAACTATAGGCCAGTAAGACTTACCCAACAGAAAACAAACGATATTGTTTTGAGACTGAAGACAACAGTCAGTCGCTCATAGTTTACAGCACAACAAACCTTTCTCCAGTAACATTACTCATTGACGGTCCACTTGAAAAAAATACGCGATGTATATAAACTTACTATGACTTAGGGTACCATTCCAGCGTGTAGTGCACCTCCAGCGTAACGGAGTCGGACGTGGCAAATAAAAATTAAGAGCATAATGAAATTCCTAAAAGAATTGTCGCAAATTTTAAAGGAAACGTTAATTATTGTATTTCTGCTCGCGATGAGTCACAGTAAGTTACTTGGATGACGTGTTTTAAGTCTAAACGTTACAAGACACGTATAAGTTATCCAAATCAGATGTACAGGATGTGAATCTCAACTTCCCATATCAGCTGGTTTGGTCTCCGCAGAAAATATGAAGAGACACTTCATGTGTGAAAGACTCAAACTTCTGTAAATGTTCTTCGGATACGGATAGGTTTGTTCCATTGTGAGGCATTGCTACCAACTAGCCTGGAAAAGCACCTTCGTTGACTAGTTAGACATATCACTGTGGTGTTTGAATGAACTGATGATTTCTTCGTACTTGTTGAATGCTTGATTTCGGAGTTCAAATACAACACATTCGTTAGTGCTGGTCTAGTACTTCCTGATTCAGTTGCGTTATTTCTGGGATTCTTAGTTTATACTATAATCCAAATACTCCTAATTATCATAGTCACACAAATCACTATAAGACTAGATATGTGAAAAATAATTATCCACCATAATAATATCAGCGGTCAGAACATTCATTGAAGCTTATATACAGTGTTTAAAGGTCAGGAAGGTTTTTAATATAAATCCTCAATTCCTAGCACAAATTGACCAACCCAATTTCTGAAGGAATATTACTCTGTAAGATGACGAATTTATTACGAAAGCCTTTTGTTAGTTAGAAAAGTTGCAGCAACTATATTTTCTCAGTCGCTCCTTTTGTTATAGACAAGTGTTTTCTTTAATCGCCCGAAAGAAGGACTATCATATCTTTTACACTAAAACGCTACCTTTTGAAATTCAAATATAGATGGCGACGAAACACCAATTCACTGATTTTGCTCAACAAGTTTTGAGATTTGTCACTCTCACCATATAGGCCATGGCATGAGCTTCAAATAGAAAACAGTGTTTCGGCAGACCTGGAGACATTTGGCTGAATAAAACCTTTATATTAAATATTATTAATTTCACTGTTTTTGGATGTATTTGTTTTACTCAACTTCTGAACGTGTTTGTTTATATCATTATTTTCTGACTTTTTGGTTGTCATATTATTAAACATGTTCTTAGCAGTCAGAGAAGTTTAAAATAATTTCATTTGCATGAATTAGAGCGTAGAGATTGCTTATCTATAAATGCAATTCTAAGCTAGTCTCTAGGCCCTTGAACACACGGAACTAGCATGGCCAAAGACAGAACAAGTGAGCTGTTCGGTTAAATAAACTTCCCTTTTTTTGAGTGAAGCTAAAATCGTTAGCAAACGAAAACTGTAAGGTAAAAATCCATATAAATAACATATTGAACTGCAACTGGGGGCCCGAGAAAATGAATCAACGAAACTTTTTATCGTTGATCATATACATGGAAGATTTTGACTGGCAAATAAATAAAACACAGTCATACAAGGTCGGGGAAAATCAAGATTGTGATAGGTGCTTAACACCACCATTGTTAGGCTCATCTTTTTGTCTCATCATGTAAAGCAGTCAATTCTAAAATAAAAGCTTCACAATAAATGGAATTAGTCACGGATTATTAATGGCAAACTTTCTTAAAATGAACAGGAAAATAACCTCAGTATTAATAAAAGGGGATGGTTGTAATTGTTTCACAAGTCTACAACAGGAGAACAGCAATTTAATATATGAATGTTAAGTAAGACAAGGATGAAATAGTTAATAAATAGTCCTACGATATAAAGGTGTTAGTTACATTTCATAAATCTTAATCAGTACGGAAGTGATAAGTACAAATGAACGTGAGAGGAA